TTGTTTTTGAACTTTTCATTCAGTTTTAAGAGAAATTTTTCGTTTGTATATTTATACTTCATCACGTCCCTAACGAAAAGTAAATAGAAGTTTTTGAAAAACCTAGGCATACTCGGAAAAATCTTTCGATAATGATTTTGTAGCTTTAGGAGTTGTCTACAGAATGTACTATTTAGTTTTGAAAAATGTCGAATCAATTCGGAGCTTTTTTAAATCAAACTACACGAAGTGAAAGTTGATGTCCTTTTTTGACTCACGTCCTTAACGCTAATTTTTAGTGATAACACCTCTGAATAAGGATGTCTAAGGCTGATTTTTTCAGGGTATCTAGAGTAACCCAACATACATATAACGTATAAAAAAATGGCTTTAGGAAACTTCATCATCCGAAGATATACGGGTTGCGATTTTGCGAAGTCACCTCCCTAATAAGTGAAATTGCCCATGTATAAATGAAAGAGAATCACTTTGAATACGGCTGTTATTAAGTAAGTATGCTGGTAGCTTTATTAATGAACAGTTTCCACGAGCACTAGGTAAATTTGGAATTGATCAACCACCTATCTTTCAAAATTTTGATCTGTGTATAAAAAAATAATGGATTTCCTACTCAAAGAAAAAAACATCAATAAATTATGGCAAAGTAATTGTCGTTTATTTTATTTATTGCTCAAGCAGGAGAACTTTTCTGTCCGATCTGATTTGTTATGACAGAAGTATTTCGCAGATTCATCGATCAATGAAATTACATCAACGTTGCGTGCACCAAATGCCCACAATTTACAAAGAAGATTAATACATATTTGATGTTATATTACCAAATTTATAATTAGATTGTTTTTTTCATGTTTCATATTATTGTATCTAATAATCTTTTATAAACTTTTATTGATCTCTACTTGATATGTGACTAATTCTGTTATATCTTGATTATATTTCATGTTTATAACGATTGTGCTACACATTCCTTTTATCACTTTTATTTTTATTTTTATTTTTTTGAATTTAAATTTGATTATTTTTTTGTTCTTGTGTGCTTATTGTATTGGAGGTAGCTCATGAATATTTGATTACGTTAACATGTTTTTCTCTTCCTCGGCCTTGTCCATGAGATAGTGGATAACAAAAAAACAGATATGCTTGTTGATTTCTATAGTATAATGAAGCATTTCACAGCTGAATAAATCTGTCAGTTGCTTATTTGTTGATCAATGAGGCTATTTAGTTATTGACAATTAGATGAGAATAGAATGAAAAAGAGAAAAAGTTTGTCCGAATGCATTTAGGGTGCAAGGTCTCACAAGCGCGACAACACACTATTGTCAAAATATAAATAGGATTTTTCTTTGTATTGGTGGCCATGTACAGGCCTGCCTACGAGAAAAATACGAATGGGACTCTCTTCTTCTATGAGAAAAAAAAGAGTCTCCCTCTCTCTCTCTAAAAAAAATAACGAATCTCTCTCCTTTTACGTGCAAAATAAAAAGTTTCTCTCTCGGAGAAAATATGAAATCTGACTCTCTCTATCAATAAAAAATTTTTCTCGTAGATTGTTCTTCGCTTGTCGATCGACGTATATAAAAGGCCTAAGCATACCTGTATAACTATACCATTTTAATCTCTTATATTTATCTTCTAGTTTATCTTCAATCGTCGATAACGATTGTACAACAATGCAGAAGAACAACAAAACAATGTTTTTATGTATGGCGTTGGTATTATTATTGGCGGTGACAACCAGCATGGGGCGATCAATTGGCATGCAAGATATGGATGCTGATGATCTTCTGAACTATTTAATTCGTAAACGTAAGGCTTGGTCCTTTTCAACAAGATTTTCCTTCTAAGCACGACACACATATCCCTTATATTAAATAGCGCACTATTTGAATAGAATCATTTTCGTCTATTCAAATATTTTCCTCGATGAAAATATTTGAATAGAATCTGGTGATTCTATTCAACTATTTCCCTCCCTGGAAAGAAAAGATTTTCACCGAAATGGAAATCTTTTCTTTCCAGGGAGGAAAATATTTGAATAGACGAAAATGATTCTATTCAACTATTTTCCTCGATGGAAAGAAATGATTTCGAGTCTAACTTGAAATTGTTCCTTTCGATGGAGGAAAATATTTGAACACGGTTTGGACATGAATTATTAATTTGTCCTGTGAGAGTATGGCATGTAAGCAATTGCATTGTGTGCTTTCAATTGAGTGGTTCATTTGAATAGATATAGATATGTATTTTTCGTGCAGCTGGTAGGCTTTATCATATCTAGAAGTTTCTTTGCTTATCTTTTGATTGTACAAAACATATGAATAAACACAAATAGCAGAGGGTAAGTATATTTTATTTTAAAATATTATTGAATTTGTTAATTAATTTTCTGTCGTTTTACTTTTAGGAACGATAGTTGCAAGCATTCTACAACATTTTCAAGTTCTCTTCAACCAAATTTTAAATCAACAAACACATTTTTCCATCACCCCCTACCAATATCCTTTTTTTGTAGTTAGAGATTCTATTTATTTTCTTTTTTGTAGTTAGAGATTTTACTTATTTTCTTTTTTGTAGTTAGAGATTTTATTTATTTTCTTTTTTTTTCGTAGTTAGAGATTTTATTTATTTTCTTTTTGTAGTTAGAGATTTTATTTATTTTCTTTTTTGTAGTTAGAGATTTTATTTATTTTCTTTTTTTTTCGTAGTTAGATTTTTTTTGTGTAGTTAGCTTTTAATAACATCAATAAATATATATACCACAAAAAATTCTCCACTTTGTCAAAAGAAATATCAGACAAACGTAAAAAGATTGCAAGGATTTATGATTTCAAAAAAAGAAATCAGTAACAGTAAATTTTTCATATATGAAACAACGTATTTATTAATTCTTGTATTCAAGCAGGGTCTCATCATATAATATTGCGACGATAATTACACTATGAAATATGCTGTGCACTCTATTCTTCTTTCTCACATGTGTATCAAAATTGCGCATTGAATAATTAATGTTTATTTTTATATACTTATTACATATTCCTCCATCAATATCAAAAAAACATGCCCACGTTGTCACAGCTCCAGCTTCGATCTTTTTTTATATCAGATTCGTCTACGAAAATGTTGGACTATTGGTCCTATAGATATATATATCTTTCAACTAGAACTTCACAAGTTCAAGGAAATCGTAAAAATCATTTTTTAATACCAACTAAAACAAATGACAAAAGCGAAAAATACAATTTTCCCCTACATGAAAATTTCACCTAAACCGTAATTTTCGAGCCGATTTGCCCAGCAACATGCTCCAACAAAACTATTTATGTTCCAAATGCAATTCGGTGAGCTCTATCAATGATATAACTGGATACTCTATGACACAAACTAGGTGGTCAAAAACTCCAACATATCGATTTTTTCCGATCAAATGAAAGGACATACTTTACTAAATCCTACCCGATTCGCGTAGGAAGCTGTTCAAACACTCTTATACTTATTCCCACTATAAGTTTATAATCTCCATCCAATAATATAATTCAATTTTCTATAACCCAAATTACGCGAGGTAAAACTCAGCAATACAAGTAAGTGAAATTGGTCCCAGGTTCGAGTAAATATTGGCACCATTCCCTTACGAACTTGCTCCAAAGCACCTATTCTTGTTCCAAATAGAACTCGATCAGCTCCATCTACTCGTATCAATGGATTTTCAACGGCCCAAACTATGTGGTCAAAAAGTCCAACATACCTGCAGTATAGCCGATGAGTCATGAGCATTGTATACTACATCAGGCCCAATACCTTTAGGAACTTGTTCCAAAGCTCCTATTCTTATTCCAAGTAGACCCCGATGAGCTCTATCCAACGGTATAATTAGACTTCTTATAAACTCAAATTATATGGTCAGAAAGTAGAAAATACCTTCCGTATACGAGATAAGCCCTGCAGCACCTAACACAGATCCTGACCCAATTCGCTTAGGAACTACTTACAAAGCTCATATTCTTCTTCCAAGTAGAACTCAATGAGCTCTTTCTACTCGTATAAATGAATTTTCAATGGCTCAAACTCCGTGGTCAAGAAGTCAAAAATATCACAGGCCTTGCCGATAAGTCATGGACATCGTACAATAGAATTTCCGCAATTCGCTTAACAACTTGTTCCAAAGATCCTATTTTTAATTCAAGTGCAACTCGATGAGCTCTATCGAATAGTATAATTACACTTTTTATAACCTCAACTTATATGGTCAGAAACCCCAAAATACCTTCCGTATACGAGATAAGTCCTCCAACTCCTACCATAGATCCAGCCACAATTCGATTAGGAACTTCTTACAGAGCTCATATTGTTGTTCCAAGTAGATATCAATGCGCTCCCACTAATTATATAAATCAATTCTCACTGACTTAAACTACGTGGTCAAAACGTCCGAAATACCAGCGGTATCGCCGAACAGTCCTAGGCCTCGTACAATAGATACTGCCCCAATTCCGTTAGAAACTTGTAACAAAGCTCATATACTTCTTCCAGGTGGAACTCAATCAGCTCTATCTAATTGTATAAATGAATTTTCCATGGCTTAAACCATGTGGTCAAGAAGCCCCAAATAGCAACAGCATAGCCGATGAGTCATAGGCCTTCTACCATAGATCGTGTCCCAATTCCCTTAGGAACTCGTTACAAAGCTCATATTCTTCTTCGTAGTAGAACTCAAACAGTTCCATCTAATTGTGTAAATGAATTTTCCGTGGCTTAAACTATGTGGTCAAGAAGCCCAAAATAGCAGCAGCATAGCCGATGAATCAAAAGCCTTGTACAAAAGACCGTATCCGAACTTCCTTAGGAACTTCTTACAATGCTCATATTGCTCTTCCAAGTAGCACCCCATCAGCTCTATCTAATTGTATAAATGAACTCTCAATGGCTTAAACCATCTGGTGAAGAAGCCTAAAACAGCAGCAGCGTAGCCGATCAACCATACGCATTGTACAATAGATCACACCCCAATTCTCTTAAGAACTCCACACAAAGCTCATATTCTTCTTCCAAGTAGAACTCCATCAGCTCGATCTAATTGTATAAATAAATTTTCTATGGCTTAAGCAATGTGGTGAAGAACTTGAAAATACCAGCGGCATAGCCGATGAATCATAGGCATTGTAAAATAGATCGTGCCCCAAGTCTCTAAGGAACTCGGTACAAAGCTCATACTCTTCTTCCAAGTAGAACTCAATCAGCTCTATCTAATTGTATGTGTGAATTTTCAATGCCTTAAACTGTGTAGTCAAGAAGTCCAAAATACCATGCGAGGTAGCCGATGAGCCATGGGCCTGATTGAATAGATCCTGCTCCAGTTCGCTTAGCAACTTGTTATAAAGCTCATATTCTTGTTCCACGTAGAACTCAATGAGCTCTATCTAAGAGTATAACTAGACTTTGGATGAACTCAAATTATATGGTCAGAAAGTCCAAAGTACGTTCCGTATACGTGATAAGTCCTGCAGCGCCTACAATAGATCCTGCCAAATTTGCTTATGAACTTCTTACAAAGCTCATCTTCTTGCTCCAAGTAGAACTCAATGAGCTCTATCTAATGGTATAATTAGGTTTTTTATAAACTCAAACCATATGGTCAGAAAATCGAAAATAACTTCCGTATGCGGGATAAGTCCTGCAGCGCGTACCGTAGATCCTGCGCCAATTCGCTTAGGAACTTCTGATAAAGCTCATATTCTTGTCCCATGTAGAACTCAATGATCTTTTTCTAATTGTATAAATGATTTTGCACTGCCTTAAAGTGTGTGGTCAAGAAGTCCAAAATACCAGTAGAGTAGTTGATGAGTCATGGGTGTCGTACAATAGATCGTGCCCCGATTCGCTTGGTAACTTGTTATAAAGCTTATATTCTTGTTCTGAGTAGAACTCAATGAGCTCTATCTAATGGTATGATTAGACTTTTTATAAACTCAAATTATATGGTGAGAAAGTCCAAAATATCTTCTGTATACTAGATAATTGCTGCAGCGTCTACCATAGATCCTACCCGAATTCGCTTAGCAACTTGTTAGAAAGTTCATATTCTTGTTCC